TAATAATAATAATAATAATAATAATAATAATAATAATAATAATAATAGTAGTAGTAGTAGTAGTAGTAGTAGTAGTAGTAGTATCCTAAGAGAAGATAAACCTGATCTACACAACTTGTCTCAGTGATCTCAGGAGGATATAGCAACAGCGATGGGATGTGTGTGTTTAGCCAGAAGTAAGGCCCACTGGGGACAAAATGCTGTTCAGCATGTAAAGACTGCAGTCTAAACTATCAAGGTCTTAGCAATCCAGTTTGACCGTCCAGGCCTACAAATTATTGTTAGCTTTTTCTATGTTAAGTAATAGTAATGTATTTACAGAATATATTCTGCAAGAAATATTTACCTCCAGGAAGTATAACAGGACATTCTTAAGCCCCATCCTGACAATCATTTTAGTCCAAATCAAAACCCTCCGATTTTAGTGGGACTTAATTATACTCCGTTGTTTAGGTCTGCATCTTGCTATCATAGAAACAAGGTCAATGTAACTAAATGCTTCACAGTATGCGTCTTCTCTCAGTAGACAGCGAAGGAAGGGAGGACGATTCCTGTTGTCTTATGCTTTCAGTTGTAGCTTAGTGCTGCATCTCCTCTGAGAAGAGAATCTAAATGCCCGGCTGGTGCCATGTACCAGGTAATTCATAACTCAGTTTATGTTTTCAGCTAAAAGCTGGCGATTGGAGAAGACAATCGGAAAGCCCTGATACGTCAGACAGCGGAGGCAACTGCAGAAGCGCGCTCCAGACACCTCCCTCGGGTTCCGCAGGCCGGGTCGCTTCTCCCGCAGCGTCAGCGCCGGCTCTGCACGGCGTTCCAGCGCGAATCGCCCTTCACGGCGGCCCCCAGAGGAGAGGGCTGTGTCCGTCGGCCAGCTCAGCCCCGCCCCGCCCCGGCCAGTCGGTCCTCGGCTCGGAAGGCAAAGGCGTCTTCCTGGGTGAGGGAAATAGGAGGCCTGTCGCGCTAGACCAACGGGGCAAACGTAGGGCGCAATTCTTAGGCGAGAAACGTCTCCCGAAGCACGCCTTCACCTGTTGGCAGTCCCTGCCGCCTGGGGCAGCCGAAAAAGTCAAGCGCTGAAGCGGCTCCTGGCCCACTCCCTTTCCGCCCCGAAGCCCCAACTTTGGGGGGAAAGAAGCACGGGGGCGATGCATCGCCAATCGAAACGCCTGCCTGTGCAGTTCTCCGGCCCTGGTGGAAAGTCGTTCTCAAAGCTCCGGCTTGATCTGGAAGTGCCCTGTTGCCATTTCCTATGCAGCCGCCCGCTACCAGCGGGGAAGGGCGCTGACAGATCAGAAGCGCCGACTCCCGGAAAACGCGACTCCCTCAGCTCCCGCCCGGCGATCAGCGACCCCGCCGAGGCGGCCGCCGGAGGCACTTTCAGACCGGCGCCCTCTCCGCAGCGGTTAGAGGGGCCGCATCTTCACCGCCGTCCCATGAAACGCCTGCCCACACGGACTCGCCTCGGTCCGTTCGGGGAGCTCGACGCCGACTGGCCTCAGGCGAGTTCCACGTTCAGGGGCGCCTGATTTCGAACGCGGGGCGCTTGGGAAAGGGGGAGAATATTGCTCAAGGAGAGGGCTTAAGCAGTGCGTCTGAGGGGTGAATCTTGACCCCCAGATCCTACATAATTACACTAGCGGGGAAATGGATGAAATTTGAGGGAGGGAAAAAAGTCCCTGAAACAGTCTCAGCGCATAGTAAACCCGCCTGTTTAAAACCACCAACATCCATGAGAATTAAATGGAACCTGAAGGCCAAAGGCAAGACCCGTTTGCCTGGGGGAGCCCCCACTTTACAATGTGGAAGAAGGTACCACTGATTTCGAGGGCTTAAATCTCGCTGATGCGTGCACGCCTCGCGCTTTCCGGATGGCACTCAAGTAAGGTTAACCTTAAGAGGCCGCTCGGGGCTTCGGAAGGCCCCTCCAAGAACGGGGCGCTCCTGCAGGTCACTTCCCCCTCCTCGGGAACCGGTTTTCTGGGGCCAGCGCCCCGCAATGAGCAGCTCTGCCGGGAGGCGCCCCACAAAATCTGCGCCCACTTCAGCCCTTCCTGGGGTGCTCCATGCGGAGAAAAATGCTGCCGGCCAGCGCCAGTATGAGCTCCGCTGATCCGGCCCGCCCCCTCTGCCACACGTGCCCTTTTATTTAATCCCGAATAGACTGCGAACGGAATTCACACGAGGGTAGACTGCCCACTTCGGATCGTTAAGAGACATTTATTTTTGCAAGTATGTCCAGAACACTCAGCGTTTCCCGCAGATACCTCTGTTACACGGATGTGACGCAAAGAAGGCAACAATGCACCTAATCACTAACAAACACAATTGATGCTGACCACCAGCTGCATGGCTTCGGAAACTCAGTCCGGAAAACTGACAAACCCGGTCGTCAACGGGATACCTCGTTCGTCTGCTAGCAATCTGTGAAGACAACATTTGCATCCGATCGATTAAGACCCGTCAGATCGCCCTTCATGCTATTTAACTGTGTCGGAGGAGGAGGGGAGCCTTCTCCTGGCATTTACGGTCAAGGATCGGAGACTTCCTAACACTAGGCTGGCCAGCTGACCAGTGGAAAACTGTCCTGGCGGTTTCCAATGGCTATGAGGCAGCGCCAGTTGAAGTCCCGTTCAGAAAGACAGAGGGTCCCCGTTTCCTTTCTCCGTCAGCGAACCTCTTCTTCAGTCTGCTGGTCGAAGGATGGCGGGCTTGTGACACCTGCAGTCCCGTTTGCGCCAGAAAGCGGCTCTGACTGCGCCTCTCGAGTTCCGCGAAGTCTTTTCCTAGTGGCACCGCTTTTAAGTGCCCTCTCCATCATTCCCCATGGATAGGCCTGGCTGGTCGTTCTGTGCCATCAGCCCCCTACCTTTACTTTGTGTGTTTCTCTCTCTACCGCCAAGAGAGGGATTAATTAACCGGGCTGGAGCTGAAAGAGGCTGCCGTGACGAGCCCAGTGGCGATTGGCCGCCCGCCTGCCTGGCCCTGCCTTTATAATTTCCACACGAGTGCATCTGGGTTCTTATACAAACCAACAGCCAGCTTCTTCTGCTACATACACACACTGAGAGAGAGAAACACCGGCACTTCCCTTGCAGTCTAGCCACCCAACACACATGCTTGCTACTCCGAGAGAAGCTCAAATAAATATATATAGAGGTGTAATTCAGACTGTTGGGAGCCTTGCTAAATCGGTTCAAACTTTTTTTCAACTTTTTTTTTAACAGCAGATCTCCATGCGTTCCGCTGCTCACTCAAAGATCCTCTAACGGCACCCATTTGAGCACATCGAAACAGGGTGTGTGTTTGATAAGGACCCGAAATCTGTCCAGAGCTAAACGGTCCATCCAGCAGCAGCAAGAGAAAGCATCTGGGCTGGAAAGGAGCAGAAACGCCGCCGCCGCCGCCGCCTAGCGCCTTTTATAAGCTTCTGGTTACGTTTCCAAGCGTAAGGCAGTCTGATTCTCCTCTGAAGTTGGCTCCAGCCTTAGCAGCCGCATTGGATCCCACAGCATACTGCGAGACTCCGGTCTACAATCCGGATCTCTGCCCCAACATGATCGCAGCGCAGGCCAAGCTGGTTTACCATCTCAATAAATACTACAATGAGAAATGCCAAGCCAGGAAAGCGGCCATCGCGAAAACTATCCGCGAAGTCTGCAAAGTGGTCTCGGACGTGCTGAAGGAAGTGGAAGTGCAGGAACCCCGCTTCATCAGCTCCTTGAACGAAATGGACAACCGCTACGAGGGCCTGGAAGTCATTTCGCCCACCGAGTTCGAAGTGGTCCTTTACCTGAACCAGATGGGCGTTTTCAATTTCGTGGACGACGGCTCGCTGCCCGGCTGCGCGGTGCTCAAGTTGAGCGATGGGCGCAAGAGGAGCATGTCCCTCTGGGTGGAGTTCATCACGGCCTCGGGTTACCTCTCAGCCCGCAAAATTCGCTCCCGGTTCCAGACGCTGGTAGCCCAAGCCGTGGACAAATGCAGCTACCGAGACGTCGTGAAAATGGTGGCGGACACCAGCGAGGTGAAGCTGCGGATCCGGGATAGATACGTGGTGCAGATCACGCCGGCGTTTAAATGCACCGGGATCTGGCCCAGAAGCGCTGCCCACTGGCCCCTGCCCCACATTCCCTGGCCGGGGCCGAACCGCGTGGCCGAGGTCAAAGCCGAAGGCTTCAACCTCCTGTCCAAGGAATGCCACTCGCTTGCAGGCAAGCAGAGCTCGGCCGAGAGCGATGCCTGGGTCCTGCAGTTCGCCGAGGCCGAGAACAGACTACAAATGGGCGGTTGCCGAAAGAAATGCCTCTCGATCCTCAAAACGCTGCGGGATCGCCACCTGGAGCTACCCGGGCAGCCCCTGAACAACTACCACATGAAGACGCTGGTTTCCTACGAGTGCGAAAAGCACCCGCGGGAATCGGACTGGGACGAGTCCTGCCTGGGCGATCGCCTGAACGGGATTTTACTGCAGCTCATCTCCTGCCTTCAGTGCAGGCGGTGCCCGCATTACTTCTTGCCCAACTTAGACCTCTTCCAAGGCAAACCTCACTCCGCCCTGGAAAACGCAGCCAAACAAACGTGGCGGCTGGCGAGGGAAATACTCACCAACCCCAAAAGTTTGGAAAAACTTTAGGAGGCCGAGGCGACGCTGCCGTCAACTATTCACGCAGCCTCCTTCTCTTCCGAGGATTCTGTGGGGAAAACTCAGGTGCTGCCAGCCGACCACGCAAACGCCAGCCTGCACAGAAGGAAGAGGCCGTCCCCGCAGGCGAACCGCACCGCACCGCAAGGATTACGACTTGTCACCAACCCGGCGTCCACCTCCCGCTCGGAAAAACAAAACAAAGAGCGTGATTATCACCTGGGGAGAGGCAATAGCGGCTATCCTGCAGCCTGCTGCGACCATCGCGGAACAGAAACCAGACCAGGGGATTATATTAACCAGGCCAGTATTTTTGCGTGAGGAAATGCTGATCTGGAGAGGCCACCCGAACAAAGAAAAGCAAAGAAGCCTACCGCGGTTTTCTCCCCTCCCCTCCCACGCATGTACATTTTAAAACATTGTATGGAATATTGTGATCTCACATTGTCTTTGAAATTGTGGATGTTAGTGTTTTGTGATTTGGTGAAAAAGTTAAATTGCCATTGTTGGATACTTCAAGACATTTTCTGCTCAAGAAGATACCCTTTCAAAAGGTAGATTTTATCATGGTACTTATGTTTCTTGTCTTTTGAAGTGTCTAAACTTAAAAGTTTACATTTTTGTTTCAAATATATTGCTTGTTCTATTTCTAACATTCCATAAATATACTTGAAATGTTATTTAAATATATTCAGAAGAAATTGAATTTTGTCTATATAATTGTGAATATTGGAATTATATATTGGAAAAATGCACTTGAGATACACTGGATAATTACTTTTTGTGATTTAAATTTCTGTTGTTGATTTTATTTAATTACAAACTAATAAATACAAGTAAAAGAAATATGGTCAAAGGTTTCAGTGCTGGATTCAATTTGGGCTGGTGCTGCATTTTACAACCTACATCAGTTAAATCATTGGCGGCCGGTTTACTTAAGGATTTTTTAAAAGGGATAACAGCCCCCCAAACGGGTCTCAGACCCTGTCAACATCTGCCACACAGGACGGTGCCTTAATTAACTGAGTAACATTTTTACAACCTCTAGGAAATAAATCTACCCATCAAGGATTTACTAGATTGCGTTAATTTGGCTGCCTGTTTTTGTCAGGATCTGTAGCTCTGGAGCCCTAGTTGGCCACAAAATTAACACTTCAGGAAAAGGGAGGGAAATCTGTGAAATTTATCTATGGCAAAAATCGAGCTAACGGTACTTAGGTTAGGGTTTGCGTTCCACTGGACTTAGAGGTCATCACTCTGGCCATCAGCCAGTTGCAAAACAAGTGCCGGCTTCTCCGGACGTCCATCAGGAAGAAGTGCACAGGACATGTCCACCAGTGCTTCAGGGCTGCCCTCGTCGGCCGACAGACAGGGAGACGGGCCTTTCCTCCGGAGGTAGACCATGCTTAAGCCCAAGGGCCAAAATTAGAGGGCGCAACTCGCTGCGAAGTGAACCGGAATGCATCTTTTAAACCTGACTCCGCTTTCAAGAATCAAAGGTGGACAACAAATCTCATCAGAAACACTGCCTACAATGGTACTATCAGAGTCAGGCACGTTTTTTCTTTTAAATCAGTATTAATTTTAGGCAGCATTTTACGGATCTGACTTCCAGACACATAATTCCTCCTTTCACGCTGTTCATGCGCATGTATGGGGAGGGAGGGGAGGGGAGGGGAGGGGGACGAACAAGGATCGTGCTTTACGGCATCAATGCTGCTGGTCGGCGTAATGGAGAGGTGCCTCTGCTTCCGCACTCGGAAAATGGAGCGTGTTCCTGGCTCCACTTTCAGACTAAGCACCATCCAACAACCCCTCCCCTCCCTCCGGAGCACCCACCCCTGAAAATCAAGTCCTTGAAATGGGGCGGTTTATTTTCACTCAGTTCCAAAGGAGGCGCCTGGCCTGCAGTTGTATGCCCAAGGACTGGGTCTGCAATGTGGGCCCGCCATTACCTCCAGGGATTTCCAAACAATTGGCTTAACAACCAAATCTGTCCACGTTCACACAAAGACCCTCGGGCTGGCAGGACAGCGGGTGGGGGGAGATTGATAAAAGGAGAGGCCGGAGTAATAGCTGATTTTATATAATTAAAGCTGTAACGGAGCCAGGGGGAGGGAATGGGAAAGAGAAGGAACAGACGTTGAGCCTTCTTCAAATAAGAGTTGCAGCAAACCACCCGCCGCTCCCCCTTCCCGGCAGTTTACTCACTTTTGCATCGATTTTCTTGAAGGCCGAATCATCCTCGTCCACCTCGAAGTAGATTTCAGTCGTGGTGATGGAGAGTGTCCCCTTGGCCACTACCACTGGGGCGATAAGCTGAGCCGGTGTGCTGAGGACCACGGGCCCTGCAAGATAAGAGCGGCGACATCAGGATGTGGCAATTCGGAGGCAAATGTGCCCTGCTTCCCTTCCTTTGCCGAGAACGAAAGCAAAGCCTTTGCACTCTGAAGGACAAGGTGCCAGGAGGCTGGTGCTGCGTGTTTCCTAAAGCAGGACCCTGCGCTGCACCAAAGGACCTGCCTAAGGGTGGTCGCTCAGGGACGGCGGTAGGAGAAACAAGATTGCCTGGGTCTTCTAATTGCAGCTCAACCCGAGACCCTGAGCTCTCCAAGACGGAGGGATCTGGTTGGAACTGTGGTTGGTCACCAGGGGAAGAAAATCATAACTGAAAATATTTTATCTATCGTGGATATGTAGGAATCCTATCAACATGAATTGGGAATACGTCCCATTGAAGAAAACTACAGTGGAACCAGGACTGCCTTTAATGGCGCTTCTTTCCCTCCAAGTACTTTTAGTTCTAAAATCAGTTCTTTACAATATCGAATGAGCAATGAGACATTTTAATTTCATCTTTATTATTATTATTATTATCCATGACATTAGTCAAGGCTTATTTTCCACACTATAAAACCATCTGCAAGGCCCCTGATGCTGTTTTGTTTGTGTGGGCGTGCACGCATATTTGTAAGAAAGTAGCTGTTATAATGCATTGTGAAAAAAATGTCAGAAATGATGCCAGAAATATTCTCTTGTCTACCGCCATTTGATCTCTAATCAGACTGTCTTAGGCTGCAACCTTTCCTGGGAGTAAGTCCTACTGAACCTAACAGCACTTACAACTGAGTAAAAAGGAAAGCTGAGCATTAAAACCTGGTTTCTGGCAGCAATGTTTTTAAAACAGTATGTCAAAGAAATGTAATTGAGTGAGTTAAACAGAATTATTTTGATTTCCTGAACGTAAAAGATGATTTTGACATAAATATGTACGGATTTTGCTTAGTCTTGTTTCCAAGTATATGTGAGCAAAATGCAATCACGTTTTCATCTTGGCAAGTGAATCCTGAAACTACAGTAATGGTATATTTCTAACAATGGTAAGAATAGGGAAACACATTACAGAATTATTCTGAGATAAGGTAGCAAAGGTTATTGCTACCAATAAGATGTGAATTTAGGATGACAGCAAGAGACAATCAAGCCCTGTGGATTTCGGAATCTAAATATATTTTATGGTAAGTTCCATCCATGCGGACCATATTTAAAAAATGGGAGGTTTAAAATCAAGATAGAAATCAAGATGTAGTCCTAAGATGAAATAAATCGAGATGCCCATTCAAGAAACGTGAAATATAATACCTAGTTGGCACCTTCTAGAAGCTAGAGGAACTAAGCATTGCCCAATTTAGAAAATGAAACCACCCCTTCCCACCGAGTCCAGTTTACTGAGTCTGAGGAGTGCGGAAAATCAATTCTCTAAAGGGCTCCCTTCAAATCTGGGTCCCTCTGCCAGCCGCCAGGGTAAGTTGCCAGCCACCCCTTCGCCCTTCTTTTCTGGCGAAAGATGGTGACCCGGGCTCGGAGCCGCAATGCAGCGCTCCCTCTCCACGCACGCACGGATTTCTGGAGGCCAACTTCCCACCACCCACTTAACTCGCATGTACCCTCTAGCTGCTAGACGTGCGTGGTTCAGCCCTGATTTCCGTGCTAACTTCCCTCCCTGCGGCAGGCATCGCCTCTCCCCCCGCGTCCCTTTTCAGAGTCCAAAGCAACGCTCGGTTTGTCGCCTATGACAGCTTTCAGGCAAGCCCACCAGGGGCTGGATAATATTGATACAAACTCTATTTTCTTTCATTTTCTTGTTTTTCTCCCTCCTAATAGGCCACCCTGGCCTCTTGACCCCAGTCAGCTGATCCGGATCACATGCGCCGGGCTCAGCTCGCTCTCCCCCTGCGCCGCCTCCTGCTTTCTCCTCCCCGCGCTCGGCGGAGCGCTGTCCTGGCGCGCCGCTGGGCAGGCTGGCGTAACGGCCGGGCTCCTGCTAGGGGCAGGGGATCGATCCGAAACGGCGCTTTAAAGGCTCATCAATCTTAATCTAGGTTGCTCAAGTAATTATGCGCGATTCTCTCGTGCGATTACAAGTGGATTTGGGTTTCGATTCCCTGGGCTCCTTCCTTTGTGTTTAACGGTAAGAGGAGCTCTCCAGACAGCAGCGCCCTGCCCTGCCCTGCCCTGCCCTGCCCTGCCCTGCCCTGCCCTGCCCTGCCCTGCCCTGCCCTGCCCTGCCCTGCCCTGCCCTGCCCTGCCCTGCCCTGCCCTGCCCTGCCCTGCCCTGCCCTGCCCTGCCCTGCCCTGCCCTGCCCTCCCGCGGCAATTCGCCGCCCTTCCCCGGCAGCCGCGCCGGTTCCTCTTCCCGGGGCTCTTTAACCCTTCCTGCCCGGCTGCCTCTCCCAGAGCTCCGGCTTTTCAGGCCACGGCGCTAAAATAAAAGGGCGCTAAAGATGATACAGTTCGGGAGCCGCCTGATAGTCCATCATTATAAGAAGGCGTTTAGTGGGCCTCTCTCGTTCCCAGAAGAAAGATCGGGTACTTAACCCAATTACCTCCCAGTTCTCCGCTTGTTATATGAACCAAATAAAAACGAAGCAGTTGGTAGTTGGTGGTCAGAAGGCCAAAGCCTATAACACGAAATCTTTTCCGAGAGAAGGTTTAAGTCTTTTGTGGGCGACTCGTGAGCACCACAGGGGGAAAGGAACCATGAATGAACGGTTCAGTGTTTAAGAGGATATAATTTCTGAAACTGCTGCTGGAAATAAATTAATCAGGAAGATTGCCATGCACAAGGCAGGCAAGTAACGGCACCCTTAAAAAAGACTGAACCTTGTGAAACCCAATACAGGCCTGAACCAAACAAAAACAGCCGCGGTATTACTAAACCCGGCATTTTTATGGTATCACATGATGTTTCCATTAACATGTTTATCACACATACCAACGAAACAGTGTTCCTATTTCTAGAGAGCATTCCTACCCCTGAAACCAGGGCCAGAAGAAACACTGACTCCAGCCTCTCGTCCTCCCTGGTGAACTCAGCGAACGGGCTTCATCCACAATGAGAACAAGGCGCAAAGTACCTGCTGGTTAGCTCCGCCCGTCCCGCTTCGATGCCCGAGCTTCACCGCTGCGCTACTCAGAGGGGCTGCAGGGATTCTCTCTGCGGACAGTAGGGAAGGAGCGACTCGGCCCCTCTAGGATCGGGTCTACCGGCGGAATGCCACCTCTCCATAACCTGTTTACCTTCTGTCTCACTCAGAGTTCCTGTCATTGAACATCTCCCCCCCTCTCCCAAACCCTAGAAAAGGCGCAAATGAAACATGCACTCTTAATGGTATGTCATTTTTAACACTTTTCCTTTGGAAATCTCCAATTACAACTTCCAATACCACGGCACATTTAAGGAGCGCTGAGTCTTTTTGTTACAGCCTTCAGGGAGCGAAGCAGCCACTGGGAGAATACCAAATTAATCCACTACAGCTATAGAGCAGGAGGATTATGATTTAATCCCCTTTGGGACAGGCTCTGGATTTTAAGGATCCGACATTAAACTGTTTACACAAGGCATAATCAAAATAGTGCAGCTTTTCCATATGGCCCCGAGACAGGCGGCCGGCCAGCCAGCGTTCTGCTTCCCCCCACCCAGGATCACGCACCTGATACCCCAAAGAAGAGCGCGGAAGAGAGACCTCGATTCCTAGGAGCCCCTGAGATGTTAAGAGTTGGGCAAGAAATGTTGGAGTTCGTTAAACGTGTGAAAGTCGAACAAAGCCCATCTCACAGGCGCAGGGGAGCCAGGAGCCTCTTTCCACTGAAATCGGGACCGTGCGAAATCTCGCTGTTTGGCTCAGGAGGCGCCCAAGATGCTCCCACCTGCGCTCGCCTCCACTTGTCCAGAGGACACCCCCTTTGTTGTCCCTAGCCCGCCTGCTAACAAAAGGCAAAGGAGGCGGCCAGCAGCCGTGGGTCTGTAAGCAGGTCTCCCTCGTGGGCGTCGCCAGCCTCTCGCACAAGGAAGAACGCGGGAACGCGACAGAGCGGCGGCCTGCCCTCACTTACAAGCAGAATCACATAATAACGAAAAGGCTCCGAGGTGGATCATCGATCGAGCTGAGTTGCCTCTGCGGAACACGTGTAATACATTTCGAAAAGGAGCTGCAAGATTAGTGCTCAAACAAATGGTGAAAAAGGTGCAGGTAGTGGAAGGAAAAAAGAAAAAAAAAGATGGATTTTGTTTGGATAGTTTAAAGTATACCAAAAGTCCGTCGATGCAAATTAGCTTTGGAGCAAGGATGTAAGTTAATAATAAAATCCAGAAGCAGCTTTTCCACTGCTTCTGTCCCATCCAATTTCCGAGCACCAATCCTCTGTGGCTCTGTAGCCCAAGGCTTTCAAATGGGGGGACACATCCTGCTGAACCCGTTGGGAATTACTTCTCAAGAAATGACTGTAGCCTAGGAATTATCAGCAGATATGCAAAAAGAAACATCTGCAGGATGACATTACAGGTCGGATGGCTTGCTTTTCAAACAAATTCCCTACTTGGATCATCATTAAACACTATTAACTCTCCTCAGATTTTTTTAAAAAAATTGAAATAGTGGGTGCATATTCAGGACAACTTTCTTTTGAAATCTGTTTCTGGGTGAACTGTACCACAGCATTTGGGGTACAATCACATGTGCCCCATCCAGAACAACTGGGAGTAGAGAATGCAAATTACACTTTGTTAGGTCATTAGCCTTCTGTGCTGGGTTATTAATCAGGTTTTTGTGGCTACTAGAAAAGCACTAATTTAAGTGAAAGTATCTGGAAGACAGACTAGTAAAAGAATTAAACTGAAGTATTTGGCCCTTTGGTATTTATGCAGATAAACTGCACAAATCACTGATAACAGTTAATTCAGCAGTCCAGGTTGCCAGTTTTTAAAATTAACACTTTGTAATGTTCCACTGTAATACTTCAGCAGGAAGCAGCACCTGGCTGTTTTTGTCTTGGCTCAGAAGCTAAG